TATTTATTCATTCTGGTTTAGAACATCAGACTATGCTGAGTTATCTATGACCTGCAGGCACAAAGAATGGCACAAGCAAATGCTCTATTCATCGTAATTGTAAGCCAGCAAACTTTATGTTAACTTCTTGTATGTTGTCTGGAGTTATGAAAAAATGCCAGAAATATTCTATACATTCCCCTATATTTAGTCAATGTAAACCTAAAATGGTATGAGGAATTACATTGATTAGTATTGTTTATTCCAATTTAAGCCAGATAAAACATGAGTTGATTATACATAGTCCATTATTCAAAAGAAGTGTGGCCAGCAGGGCCAGGGAGGTGATTCTGCCCCTCTGCTCTGGTGAGACCACACCTGGAATACTGTGTATAGTTCTGGTGCCCTCAGCACAAGAAAGATATGGGCCTCTTGGAGAGGGTCCAGAGAAGGGCCACCAAGATGATCAAAGGGCTGGAGCACCTCTGCTATGAAGACAGGTTGAGAGAGTTGGGGTTGTTCAACCTACAGAAGAGAAGGCTTCGGGGAGACCTTATAGCACCTTCCAGTACTTGAAAGGGGCTACAGGAAGTTTGGAAGGGGCTTTTCATCAGAGAAGATAGTGATAGGACAAGGGGTAATGGTTTTACACGGAGTGAGGGGAGATTTAGGTTAGATATTAGGAAGAAATTCTTCACTCTAAGAGTGGTGAGGAACTGGAATGGGTTGCCCAGGGCGGTTGTTGATGCCCCATCCCTGGAGGTTTTTAAGGCCAGGTTGGATGAGGTTTTGTGCAACCTGATCTAGTGGTAGTGTTCCCTGCTCATGGCAGGGGGGTTGGAACTTGATCTTTAAGGTCTCTTCCAACCTTAATGATTCTATGATTCTATGATTTTAAAAGCCACATTTTTTGCAATTGTAGGGCAGTATTTTACCCAAGCTACAGTGATTTAGATTTTCTATGCCTATTAAATGTGCAATGAGTGTCCTAATACATCTAAAACTGCAGCTCTGAAAATCTCAGGTAGGGCCAATTTTAACTATGCATCATGTATTTTCCTAGGCACAATATATTTTTAAAGTATAAACATGATTAATCCACAGTCTCCAAACCATGAATTTTGGTGTCTTGTATTTCTCTATCCCCAAAATTGCATCCACCGTGCACAGTATGTTTGCAATTTTCCCCCATTTTGCATTGAGTGGGATTGATTTTTATTTTGTCTTTGCTTTGGGTTTACAGTCTGGATGAGAACTAGTGTTTAGAGAGTCTTCTCAAAATAATTATTTAGAATTTATTCTTCTGCACAAATCAAACCATGTATAATACAGAACTTGAGATAAATAAATCTACCATATTATCTTTTGAAAAACTGCATTCTAGCAGAAAGGTCAGTTACTCAGTTTATTACTAAATACATCCTGAGGCAAAGCTAAAACAGTTAATATAGAAGTAATAACTGATTTCAGCCCCTGTTGATGTCTGACCAAAGTAGTTAGAAGGGCAGATGGTATGAATGTCAATTTTCACATCATCATCTTCTAGACCAGATAGCATGTAATTATAGGCAGCTGAGCACAAATGTGCAATTACAGTCAGTGGAAGCTGCAGATACTTCTTATCATTTATTTGGAAATGTTCATTCTTTTTTTAGAATTTAATTCTCCTTGCTAAAAGCTGCCTGCAATGCTAAGTCCTGGAAGAAAAAGCATTATACACTTTCAAGTTCATACGTTACTACGGAGGGTTCTGCTTAGAAATTTTTAAATTTATCTGACAATTTTGGTGCTAAAGCCACAGAGAAATTTCCTTTTCATCTTGTACCACACAGTACTAGAAAACACCAGCTTATATCTGATGGTAAAAGTCATTTAGGTAAAATTCAGGCAGAGACAGTCCAACAAGCATTTTGAAATATAAACTTTCATCTGGAGATATATGAAAAATATTAGGAAATTAGGGAACTTTTTGGAGCCACACATTTAGTGGAGTATTTTTACTCATTTGTTTTCCCTAAGATAACTGTCATTGATCAAATCTACACAGTTTGGGAGAAGCCTTTTCTTTTCTGCTAAAACCTGTGAAAGTTGCTGAGAGCAACCTGCTGCCAGAAGCACATGGGAGGTAAATAAAGTGGAGCTGTACTCAGAGAAAAGCACTTCCTTAAAAGCAGGCTGCCAGCATTTGCCGAAGTCTCTCTTCCACGTGAGGAATTGTTACAGTTGCCATGGGAATATAAAGTGAAATATAAAGCGATTGTGACTATTAAGGAGGGAGGCAATCCAGGAGGCAGCAAATGAAGATGATAGCAACTATGAAGCTGTTAAACTGAAATCTCTGTCAGTGGATCTCAAATATTTTGCCCCCTCCTCCCTTTTTTTTTTTTTTTTGGTGTAGCACCTGTTTCATGCCATCAAGTTTTTCCAGCATCTCAGGCAGGGAGAAATAATAGGAAAACATCACTTTGTGCTGCCCACTGCCTCTGATGCCCTTTAAGGTTTTCTCAGGCAATCTCCCCGAGGTCAATAGACACAAAATATGAATATTCTAGACAGAATATGGTTTAATGTTTGCAGAGTGTGAGCAATCAGGAAACATCAAGAACTTCCTTAGCTACACAACACAAAGAAAATGTGCCTATATAATAGGTATTTCCTGACAAACTGTGCTGGCTAAAGCAAACTTCTGTTTTGCATCTCTTTCTATTCCTACAATGTTCTCTAAATCATAGAATCATAGAATCATAGAATCCTAGGGGTTGGAAGGGACCTCAAAAGATCATCTAGTCCAACCCCCCCTGCCAGAGCAGGGTCACCTAGAGTACATCACACAGGAACGCATCCAGGTGGGTTTTGAATGTCTCCAGTGAAGGAGACTCCACAACCTCCCTGGGCAGCCTGTTCCAGTGCTCTGTCACTCTTACACCTGTGGGGGTATTTTGTTTGTTTGTTTTTCTCCACTATTTGGAATCTGAAGGACTTTGCACCAATAAGAATAGTCTGCCTTGGAAGCACAGAGGGCCTTTTTTTTTCTCCAGGCACTAGGATTGAGAAGTTACTGCTTGCAATTCTCTCTCCTCCATTTCCTTCTGTGCTGCAAAGTGAAAGGAAAGGAAAAAGAGGACAAAGAAAACCCCTGTGTATTTTAGCAAATATTGTGATAGAAATAAAATTTCTGATTTTAACTTTGTACTTCTATTTGATCAACTGTCATACAATCCCTACTCCTTACAGTGCTACTACTCCTTACAGTCATTAAAGACTGATTCATTTATCTAAAGACAGACTGGCCTTAAAGTGCCCTCAGCTAGGATACAGGCAGAAGTCTGGAATATATGATACAACTTACAGGACACCTGCACCCTTCTTGGCAGCAGATCAATTGGGATACCGGCAGGTATCCTCAAGTAGCACTGGATGCTTGTAGTTGTGTGAACTGAGTTTCTGAACTGAGTCTGCCTCTCCCAAGAGTATAATAGCAGCTGAAACACCTAGCTCATATGCAGTTAGACAGATTTTACCCTGTAATGCTGAACCAGGTATAATTCAAAACTTCAAGTCTTTGCAGTCACCTCAATCCACTACATACTGGCAAAAGAGCCAGAGGAAACAATAAAAATCACTTGGACTTGCTTGTAAGAGGATTTAAAGATTTAGCCATAAATGTGTACTTGTCTCAATTTTCACAGTAGAAAGAAAGAATAATTCACCTTTTTCAGTCTGCTCAATTTGTTGAGCTCTTCTGAAAAAAAGTCACAAACACTTCTTGACAGATTTAATAATGCATGCTGATGTGTAATTAAATGTAATTTTAAAATTTACACATAATTATAATATTTTTACAATGTTACCACTTGTTTAAAAACTTCAGACCACACCAAATTACTCTGGTCATATGTCCTTTGCTTCAGAAAACAAAACCTACTAATGACATTACTCTTCCCAAAATGCAAAAGAGTAGACTGTGTTGCTGAAACATTTAATTCTTTCCAGTCTTCATTTATTGTCTAGTACTCCATGCCATTGCATCGAATATACTCTAATCTGTTGTAAAATTAATGGCTTACTTTTTCTTTCTGGCTGTAAAACTAATGTCTTACTTTCTTCTGTTGGCGAGGGTTTCTTCACTGTCTCTTGAGAACATCTTCAGTCTTTGATTATCTTTGTTCTGATCAAAGGAGCAACCTGAAGACTTTGCAGGCTTCCTTACAGGAGGACCACATACTTTGTTCACCTAAAAGGAAAAATAGTGACATGAAGAAGGAAAAACACATGTAAATGAAAATTATTGTGTATCTCTCCATTCAGTTTAAATCTACCTTAAAAAGGCTTGTTCTGTTGACATAAAACTATGAAAAGTGTCATTAATGATCATACTTTCCACAACACTATACACGTAATGAAAGCAGTATACACGTAATTAGTCATTTTATAGCAGGGAAAAAGCCTAACAAAATCCCTCCCTTTAAAGAAATACCCAGGGTATAAGAAAGTCACCACATGGATTTTGGGTGGCTTTTTTACCTCCTGTAAGTAAAGTGTATTGTTATGCAGACAGCAACATTAACCTTAGAGAACTGATGTGTTGTGAACAGTGGCATATTTCCATTTTTTTTCTGTAATATGCCCAAATCATATTTTTAATATGCATTGAACTTGGTGATTTCTTTCAGGGTTGATGAATTATTATGGCATGTTCAGCACAGTTACCCAGAGCATATAGTGAACAGTTTGCATGGTCGAAACTCACATTACAGCCTTGTAAGATGTAAATTTAATGATCCAAGATGTAAGTTTAATGATTCGGAGCATAGATGTTGAAAATATCAAGGGATTTTTTACGTCTGGCTTTTTGAACCAGATGTCAATAGATACAAATTCACATGAACTCTCATTTTCTTCTTTGTAAAATGTGATACTGAGTATTTTGTACTATAGAGGGTATCAATTCATGTTCATAGCTCATTATTCTTCCTTGTCACCCAATAAAAATAATTAGAGCCATACATATTTATTAAATAAGGGATACTACATGCTGGGGATCACATCAGACAAGATTTTAAGCAGACTGAACAGCGCAGATTTTGTGTAACCAAGGACACATGCACTACTGAAAAACTAATACTATATGTAGGTGGCTGACACACCAGAAGGCTGTGCTGCTATCCAACAAGATCTAGACAGGCTAGAGAGCTGGGTGAAGGTGAACCTCATGAAGTTCAATAAGGACAACTATAAAGTCCTGCACCTGGGGAGGAATAACACCAGGCATCAGTATAGATTTGGCGTCGTCCTGCAAGAAAGCAGCTCTGTGGAGAAAGACCTTGGAGTCCAAGTGGACAACAAGTTATCCATGGGACAGAAATGTGATCCTGTGACCAAGAGCCAATGGCGCCCTGGGGTGCATTAAGAACAGTGTGTCCAGCAGGTCTAGGGAGGTTCTTCTCCCCCTCTACTCTGCCCTTGTGAGACCTCAACTGGGGTACTGCATCGAGTTTTGGGCTCCCCAATTCAAGAGAGGCAGGGATCGACTTGAGAGTGTCGAACAGAGAGCTACAAGGATGATTTAGGGACTTGAACATCTCTCCTATGTAGAAACATGAGAGAACATGTGCTGTTTAGTCCTGAGAAGAGAAGGCTGAGAGGAGATCTTATTAACGTCTATAAATATCTGTATATTTGTATATTTATATCTTATTTTTATATTTTTATATCTGAATATTATGTGCCCTTGTAGCCAAGAAGGCCAGTGGCATCCTGGGGTGTATTAGAAAGGGTGTGGTTAGGAGGTCAAGGGAGGTTCTCCTCCCCCTCTATTCTGCCTTGGTGAGGCTGCATCTGGAGTATTGTGTCCAGTTCTGGGCCCTCAGCTCAAGAAGGACAGGGAACTGCTTGGAAGAGTCCAGCACAGAGTCACGAAGATGATGAAAGGAGTGGAACATCTCCCTTATGAGGAAAGGCTGAGGGAGCTGGGTGTCTTCAGCTTGGAGAAGAGGAGACTGAGAAGCAACCTCATCAATGTTTACAAATATGTTAAGGGCGAGTGTCTGGAGGATGGAGCCAGGCTCTTTTCAGTGATGTCCAGTGATAGGACAAGGGGCAATGGGTGAAAACTGGAACATAGGAGGTTCCATGTAAACATCAGAAAAAAACTTCTTTACTGTGAGAGTGACAGAGCACTGGAACAGGCTGCCCAGAGAGGCTGTGGAGTCTCCTTCGCCGGAGACATTCAGAACCCGCCTGGATGTGTTCTTGTGTGATGTGCTCTGGGTGATCCTGCTTTGTCAGGGGGGTTGGAATAGATGATCTTTCAAGGTCCCTTCCAACCCCTAAGATTCTATGATTCTATGTGATTTATGAAAACATCATTTCAATAGGTAGTCAAGATTTTTTTAAAGAAAAAATTAAAGAGGAGATGGCTGTTGGCTTTAAGACAGGGATCTAACTTTTAAAGCAGAAACATATTCAAAATGCTACCATGAAAAAGAGGAAATAATACATATGTTATATAACAAGGATTATTGCTGCCTGTTGCATTTTATATCCTCAAGTGTAAGAACAGAGAAAGCAAATAAAACTCATTTTTCAAGTTACCAACACACATATTAAAGAGTAAGGTGCAAATCTTAGGGATCACTTTTCACTGTTTGTTAAGAAGAGCATGTAGTGATAGGACAAAAGGGAATGGATCAAAACTGCAAGAGGATAGATTTAGGTTAGACATTAGGAGGAAATTCTTTAGTGTGACGGTGGTGAGACACTGGAAGAGATTGCCCAGGGAAGCTGTGGATGGGGGTCTGAGCAATCTGATCTAGTGGGAGGTATCCCTGCGCATGCAGTGGAGCTAGAACTAGATGATATTTAATGTTCCTTCCAATTCAAACCATTCTATGATTCTATGATTCTGTGAAATACATTTAAAATTTAAAATAAAATTAACATATCTAATTTTTATGAGTTTGTTGTTGTGCATGGTGTAAGTGGTGACAGTGTAGGCTCATTGAATGCACTTGCTTAGGCCAGTCAAAAGAAGAAAGAATCAGCATTATTACTGCACATGAATAAGCATTCACTTTCCAAATTGAAAGTGGGGATAAAGTTCTTTTTGGCTGTAATTCACAATTTTATTTAGGCATTCAAGTTATAGTTTGAATCCCCTTTAAATGAAGTGCATTAATTTACCTGTACAAAAATTGTCCCTGGACATATGGCTAATGTCCTTTCAGGGGCATAATGGGATATACTTTGAATGTGACTTAAAGCATTCACCTCACCATTTCTTATAAGAGGCAGTGTGTCCTTGGACTGCATCTTACTGAATTTGTTCTTGTCCTCAAATTCTGTTTCAAAACTCTCTCACACTTTTCCTGCTGTTGACCCCATTAGTTCTTCTTCAGAGTGCATTACCCCACACTCTTCATCAGCTTAAGTGGAGTCCCATTTCCCGCTCTGTAAGGCTCTATGCTCTTTCTAGGCTTCATCCATCCTTGTGCAAGTCTGCTCCTTCAGTGCTTCATTTTGCCAGCCTCTGCAGCAGTCTATCCCATCAGCCACTGTATATATATAATGCAGATCTACGAGAGGCAAAAAATGCTTTTGTCTTGTTACTTGTCTCTGCTTATATTCTCTAATGCTCACTGATGTGACATGGGGAGCATTATGCTTATGATCATCCTTTAGGAGAAAGAAACTTGTGGCTTGGGTTGCCTCAGTCCCAGCTTGCCATACACTCTTAGAAAGCTTTTTGTCTTGCCAAGAATAAAAATAAGGACTTAACAGACAATGAGAGTCACATCCAGATGTTTGGGAAAGAGGGTCTGTCTCATGACAAGCATGGGCTAGGAATGTAGGTTGCTGTAAGTGTTAGATGCCTTGCATATCTGAAAGATTCACCTTAGCAGTCCAGGCACTCTCAGAGATTGACTGTAGGGTGGAAGCCTGTAAGAGGAGGAGAAACATGGTGGAGATGATTTGCCGCCTAATAAAGACTCTAAGCAGATGAGTACCAAGCCTTTGGATCAGGGGAAAAAAGAAATAAAAATAATAAATAAACTGGTTCCAGTTATAGCAATCTTAAAAAAACCCAACAAAACAACAAACAAAAAAACACCTTATGCATTCAGCTCCACTAGGAAGGCAAGAGAATCCATGCCTACCTTTATTTCTTGAATTTACAATAAAATCTCATCTTTTACTCCACTTAAACCAAACAAATCAAGAGAACAAAATATTTTTACAGTCATAGAGACTTGGAATATGGCTCATACTTGTTTTATATGTATTAGTTGCTTCAAAATATGGCTTAATGACCTTTCCGTCTGCTTATTCTCTTTGAGTCAATGTCTCAAGAAACACATTCTATAGGAATCCCAAGAGATTTGCATTCAGTGATACATTTAAAAATAAACACTAGTTTCAAATATAAAATGTTAAAAAAAAAAAATTGTTTGGATAAACTTTATATACATAAATACCATCAAAATCCAGCCATTATCTGAAATGTCTTTTTAAGAAGTGGTTGTTGTTCTTTTTTTCCCAGAAGACATTTCTGGAAAATTCTGAAAACAACATTAGTGAAATTATAAGAATTCATTGAGCCACAGAATGCCAGGTTGGAAGGGACCTCAAGAATCATCTGGTCCAGACTCTCTAGGTAATACTAAAGTTCATATGAGATGGCTCAGCACCTTATCAAGCTGAGATTAAAACCATGCTGTGTGGGGGAATCTACCACTTCCCTTGGAAAACTATTCCAATGTTTGACTGTCCTCATGGTGAAAAATTTACCTCTTGTGTCCAGCTGGAATCTCCCCACGAGCAACTTATGCCCATTACCCATGTCTTTTCCATGTGATTCCTTGTAAATAGGGAGTCTCCATCCTCTTGTCAGCAACCCCTTAAGTACTGCAACATGGTAAGTAGGTCTCCCCAAAGCTTTCTCTTCTCAAGGCTCAATGAACCATTTTCTCAGCCTCTCCTCATATGGCAGGTCCTTCAGTCCCCTGATCGTCCTTTGGCCCTTCTCTGAATCCTCTCCAGCCTGTCCACATCCTTCTTGTAGAGCAGGGACCAAAACTGAATGCAATACTCCAGGTGTGGTCTGACAAGTGCCAAGTAGAGCGGGATGATTTCTTTACCTCTGCTGGTGATGATGCCATTGTTGTTGCAATCCATCATCCTGTTGGCTTTCTTTGCCACTGCAGCATACTGTTCTCTCATGTTGAGCCTGTTATG